CTTGAGTCCATCCGCACGGCCAATTTAGCAGCAGCTCGAAGGTTTGCCATAGCAACACTGAATATCGGAGCACCGTGACGGGGAAGAGGTATGTATAGTCCCTTCTTCCCATGAGAATTGTCATTTCTACTATCTAGTTGTTCATGTGCCCGTTATACAGCGTGATCGCTCCTAAGGCTATAAGTAGCCCGGTATAAACTTGCTCAGGTTGACCGTTATCGTTTGCACTTCCTCACAGCTCCCTCGTAATGCCGTCCACATTCACCAAGACTTTCGACACCCCTGCATACAAGGGGACTGTTACGATCCCTCTGGGCCTCTACATAAATGGAGAGTTCGTCGACCCTGTTGAGGGCGGCACAATCGAGTGAGTGTCTTCTTCGTGCGCTTGAGTGTCGATCTCATTCGTACAGTGTTGTCAATCCTGGTGCGAATTTTTTCGTCACGAATGGTTCATAGCTTATTTGTGCAGCAACGGGCAAGGTGGTCACGTCTATCGCAGCTGGGACAAAAGCCGATATAGACATTGCTGCGAAGGCAGCAAAGGAAGCTTACAAGACTTCATGGGGCCTGAAAGTTCCTGGAATTCAGCGCGGAAAGCTCATGTCGAAGCTCGCCGTTTTGATGGAGGAACATATTGCGGAGTTCGCTGCTCTTGATGCCCTTGCTAATGGTACGTACTTCTGTGTCACCGCTACTCTCGAGTTAACGGAGCAGCCCATACCTTACAGGGAAGGCTTACAATACCGCCTACGGTAAAGACAATAAAGGGGCGATTGCCGTCATGGAATACTATGCTGGCTGGGCTGACAAGATCAGCGGGAAGACTATCGAGGTCCGTTTTTCCTCTCTCTCTCTCACCAGTCAAACTCATTTCGCCCTAGACCAATGAGAAAAAACTCGCTTATACCAGACATGAACCCATCGGTGTTGTGGTAAGGATTCTTCTCTGAATAATATCTAAATGAGATCTCAGTTCATGCCTAGGGTCAAATTATTCCATGGAATGTTCCGAGTGAGTGATTCCAAGGAGCGTGCGGGACTACAGCTTACATTGATTAGTGTTCTCTCTTTCTCTCAAGGTCGCTCCTGCACTAGCTACCGGCAACACGATCGTCCTGAAGCCTTCTGAGATTACCCCGCTTTCTGCTCTTCTCTTCTGTACCCTGATCGAGCAGGCAGGTTTCCCTCCTGGTGTCATCAACATCGTGAACGGATATGGTTCAACAGCAGGGCAGGCAATCTCTGAGCACCCTCTTATCGAGAAAGTTGCATTCACTGGCAGCACTCTGACGGGACGGAAAATTATGGAGGCTGCTGCAAAGAGCAACCTGAAGTCTGTCACCCTTGAGCTTGGCGGAAAGAGCCCCAATGTCATCTTCGATGACGCCGACCTGGAGCAGGCAGTCAAGTGGGCTATTCACGGTATCTAGTATGTTGCCCCGTTCGCATGACTTATGCTAGGTCTCATCGTTTTTGTAGCTATAACCACGGTCAGAATTGTTCTGCAGGTTCTCGTATCTTTGTTCAAGAGGGCATATACGACAAGTTCTTGGACCAGTTCACAGAGCAAGCACGCGCGATCAAGGTTGGCGATCCTTTTTCACCTGACACGTACCAAGGGCCACAAGTGTCCAAGACTCAATTTGAGGTTCGTTTATCCAATGTCATTATAAAACACACTTTGACGACCATAAAGCGCATCATGGGATACATAACCTCCGGCCAGAACGATGGTGCTACAGTACACCTTGGCGGCAAGCAAGTTGGTCAAGAGGGATACTTCATCGAGCCAACAATTTTCACGGAGTGCCAGCCCAACATGAAAATCGTCAGAGAGGAGATATTTGGTCCCGTCGCGTGCGTCATAAAGTTCAAGACTGAAGATGGTGAGATTGCTCTTGTTGTACGATCATTGTATTCCTAACAATTTTTCAGAGGTCGTTGAACAGGCTAATGATACATCATACGGACTTGCCGCATCGGTGTTCACCAAAGATATCGACAGAGCAATCCGCGTTGCACACGCTCTTGAAGCAGGTACTGCATGGGTTCGTTGCTTCCTTATCTCATCTTGCGCGTCTGTTGTGTAATGACGCCTGGCAGATAAACTGCTCCAACCAAGCTGAAATATCGATGCCATTTGGAGGCTTCAAGCAGTCTGGAATTGGTCGTGACCTGAGCGAGTATGCTTTGGAAAAGTAAGCTCAAGTCCTTCAAAACGACACCGCACTAATAATACTCGGTTCAGCTATACGAACGTTAAAGCCGTTCATGTCAATATTGGATTGCGATTGTGATCGCTCAGGACTCTCGCATCTTGTATTATTAGTACGCATGTCATGGATGCATGCGCCAACCAAAGGTATACTGGAGAGAACTGATTTGATGTCTGGCCAGGGTTTGTCTTTGATATGCCTCGTAGCACAATGACAATGTAAGTAGGATAGGGAAAGGGATACTCTGCGACACACGGGCGGTTCATCGATACGAATTGCTATACCTTCTACCTTCCCACATCCAGTACCCAGCCATGCATACCAAGCAACATTTAGGTCATATCAACCACTCTCTTATGAAAGAATTTAGGGCCCGTTCTGGTCAGGGTAACGATAATGGTAGTTCTGCGAAGGCTGGTCTTCCTAAGAAGGTCATCGAGCAGGCCTTCGGGTCGCTCGATGCACTCAAGAAGTTCGATGCCACTACTGCTGGCATTCAAGGTTGGGGCTGGCTCGTAAGTTTCTCGTTTCATCACACATGACTGATGTAGTGGTAGTGCTCACGGCGCTTCACATTCAGGGTTTGAACCTCTCCATCAGGCACCTCTATATCACCAAGACCGTAAACCAGGACCCGCTTCTGATCTGTTGACATCCGAGAGCATGCTTTTACCTCTAGTATCTTCAAGTTAGGTTTGATTTATCATTCTTCGTTGGAGCGAGATGCTTTATTGATTATATCTGTAGTACCTGAATGCCATTCGGACCGTCATCAACTCTGAGGCTGAAGAGGGTCTTTCCTACAAGTTACCGAGGAGGGCAACGGAATAAAATGAAGGAAGAATGAATTCACGACGCGTCACTTGTCACAATTCGCTGTAGGACAAAGCTACGATAAGTTTGATTGGACCAAGGGTGATATCAGTCGCACGAACGGCCTGGAGAAATATGTGCTGGGCAGAGATAGGTATCACGAATCGGTAACGGCGACTTGCACTCCCCTGAAGTGTGCATTGGCTTCTCACCCAAGGGTGTGATGGTACCTTTTCAATAGAAGAAACGAAGGTCTGTCTAAAGGGTACCATCAAGTGGCTGAACGAACATAGGAGATACTACTTACTAATTACCAGAGCTGACGAAGTTTCCGAGGTCTTTTTACGTTATACTGCTGGTACCTTGTTCGCTACGGCCTTGGCGGCCGAGCATGATAACAGGTCGCTGCACACACATCGGGGTGAACGATATTTAAAAGAGGTTTATATGTTGTACAAAATGTGAAAACAATATTTGATATTTAAACTAACATAAAGATGGGTGCACGACTTCAAATTTTGGTGGTGTTTTGTGTGTCATCCAAAATATCAAATATTCACAACCATATTCCCACAGACAATATGTCAACAAATATAATAAATATAATCAGATTTTCCATGTCTGCTTCAATTTAAAGTTTGATTCTTACATAAAACTTTGGAGAAAACTTGAAGTTTTACCAAAGCTTGACATTTAAATCGAGTTTTAATGTCATGTCATCTGTAAAACTTCAAGTTTTCTCCAAAGTTTTACATGGAAATTGAACTTTAAGTTGAAGCAGACATGAAAAATCTGACTATATTTCTTATGTTTGTTGACGTATTGTCTGTGGGAATATGGTTGTGAATATTTGATATTTTGGATTACACACAAAACACCACCAAAATTTGAAGTCGTGCACCCATCTTTATGTTAGTTTAAATATTAAATATTGTCTTCACATTTTGTACAACATATAAACCTCTTTTAAATATCGTTCACCCCGATGTGACACTCGTTTGTCTCTTCCAGGCAGGTGTTCTGGCTGGCTTTGCTCCACACCAACGTAATCAAGGAACAACTGTCTTCCTCCTATGTGGTCTGACCAGGGAAGACCGTTCCCCAAGTGTCCCGCAAAGGCGATCAGGGATGACACAGATGAAACTTGAATATGACTGAGGAATGTTGCACAACGCCTGAGAGAGAGAATGCATCATGCATGCATGCAGCATCAAATATACCGACAGATGCCGGGCCGGGGAAGGGATACGTGATCGGAGATTGAATATGTTATCTCCAGACCCTGGCTGAAGTTCACGAGTGTCAGCCTGACCCAACTTGGATCCAATGTACCCCTTGATGATGCTACCCCCTGTATATATCAACTGCGTGACAACAGGAATAGAGCCAGGGGTCTTCGGCTCCGATATTCTACAACTTGGAACTTCACCAGAAGCTTCGAAGCCCTGTCTTCTCTACGTCTGGAAATTGGTGAAACGGTACCTCATTCATGTCATGCATCATCTACACGTTCGTGCCTGAGGCCTGAACTTCCGAAAGGGATACGTAGACTGTGACGGTCGTTGGGTTCAAAATGGTATGTGCTCCGAGCAGTTCTGAATCTTCTGATCAACACGTCGTACAGCAGACTTTCGAAAACGAATGTGAACGGCATGGCCAAGTAATTGACATTCGTCAACAATTCACCAACATGATACGCAACCATCACCGGTCACCATCCAGCCATTCCGATCTCAAAATCTCTTCTGGATGCACAGGATTGAGCACCAAGATCTGCCGATTGCTATTGCGGCCTATTGCATCGAAGATACTGTCAATTTTTTCATCTATGTAAGTTTGATGGCATCTTCAACATCAGTGATTCGTGTGTGAAGCAGATGCACATCGAATGTTGAACCGTCCATGTAACTATTTATGCACGTCACACGTTACTCTAGGTCTGAGTATGTATATGATGAAACGATCAGCGCTAAGCGCTCAGAATTGTGTATATGTACAGCTCCTGCCATCACTTGTCCCACCCCACGAATGGCAGTCGAAACCAAACCTCAAATACTTGTTGTGGAATCCTGGGCTGCACAAGAGCACAAAGGGGGGTCAGAGGAGCTGGGAGTTGAATACCCAGTCTCCAAGGACTCCGACCTTCCTTTGCTCCTGCAAGAGTTTCCAGAAGGTGGTCTTGCCGCTTGGTCCACTGCTTTTGGAGCGTAAGGAGACACGATTTTGATGGGATTGGCTCTTACTTGATCGGTTCAGGTTTCTCATAATGTTCTGCACTTGGGGGTGAGTGTTATGCCCTCTCATCGATGAGGAATTTTGCTGAATGTCAAAAGTTACACCGCTTCATTTGGTGTCTATGAAGGTATTGCTACACATAAACGTGAGGATAGAACTATGTTTGAACGGCTTGCGCTCCAGACTTCTATACTCGGCATTACCTCACAAATGAGACATCATTTGCTATTTCGTGAGTTCTACAGGCTTCTCTATCGTGACTATCCTCATGGTCGCTTGCAGATCCATCGGGAGCTTGACAGGGTTTTTAGGCAGCGCTGGGGGTATTATATCAGGCTCACTCTATGATCGAGGTTATTTGTGAGTGTAGATGCAAGTGTCTTGGGGACAGTGCTTAGCAGGCCTACCTAGTTATCATCTTGTCATTACCGGATCGCTTCTGCAGAGTTTCTCTCTTTTCATGTTGTCATTGGCGAAGCCACATCAGTACTTCCAGGTAGCGCCCTCCGGCTTTCTAACATTTCGTCTTCTGACATCTTAATAGATAATTCTTACTCAAGGCTTAGGCTCAGGTATCGCGGTAGGGTTGCTGCACGTCCCGGGCTTGGCTGTCGTCTCGCATCATTTCAGACAGAAACGCACGCTGGTGATGACATTCGTTACTTTGGGCTCATCGTCCGGTTCTCTCGTCTATCCGATTATGCTCAATAACCTCCTGAATGGACACCTTGGCTTTGCCAATGGCGTGCGTGCAAGTGCAGGGTTGACCAGTATGCTCCTTTTGATTGCATGCTTGTGTGTGCGAACCCGCCTTGATCCGCCGACGACCCCAGTGAACTATATTGCGACAGCTAGAAAATGCTTTCGTTATGTTCCGTTTCTTTTCGCGATATCAGGGTAAGACCTGCAATACGGCATCTTTCGAATCCCTTCCAATGATCATTCGTTATGCAGGGCGTTTATATTCAAGATTGGCTTTTACTACCCAACATATTTCCTCCAACTCGACTCTATCAAACACGGCATCAACATCACTTTTTCATTTTACACTGTGTGGTCTAGCACTATGCAAGTGATATCCTTACTAATGCCATCGTTAGCTTGCGATTTTAAATGCGTCCAGTTGTGCGGGACGAATTACATCAGGGTATATCGCAGCGTTTACAGGAGTACTAAACTTAACCATGATTGCGGCAATTTCGTGCGGATCGGTAATTCTGGGCATGATGGGATTGCGCACCCTGGCCAGCGTCGCTATTCTTGGTGCATTTTATGGCTATTTTTCAGGGGTGTGCAAGTATTTTTCTGTTTCACTACATGCTAGTAGTTGAAGTTGTTGATCGATAATGCAGATACCGCGATGGAGGGTCCACTCGTGGCTACCCTAGCACGCAACCCCTCCGAACTTGGGTGAGTGATAACTTGAGCTTCGGTGTGTGCGAATGATCTGATCTGGTCACAGCGGGTGGATGGGCATCTATTTCTTTCTCGATGGTGAGTATGATCAGATTTAATTCTATATTATTTTGAACTGGCACACATTCATTCTGCAGCATTCGGAAGTTTACTTGGTGGGTGCATTTGTAGCATTTCTTACTTCACCGTATATATGTTCATTTAGGACCACCTATATTTGGTGTTCTGCTCACATCGCATTTTTTCTGGTGGAAACCCGCTCTGTTCGCTGGGGTGAGTCGACTACGCTTACCGCTTCTCCACTTTGATCAAATAAATTATAGATCGCTTCACTGACTGGTGGCGCGATGTACGCTTTCATGCGGCTCGTTTATACCAGATTGCAGAAGAATGAATCCTAAGTGAGCGGCTTAGTCCTATCTACAGGGCAATATTCACATATATATGATACAATCAACAGACGATGACATGGTGACGCATGACATGCAGGAACGTTGTTTGTGATACGGATATAATGATATACAGATTATGCCGAAAGATAAAGGAGTACAAATAGATTCCAATTCTGCCAATGAAGACATGTATGTCTCACGACTGTGGTATTTGGTAGATAGATGCTTGAAGGAAATGGTTTATTGTCCTGTCACCACGTTCGGCTGCCAAGCCGTGGCAAAAACAAGGTACCAGCAGTGTGACGTAAAAAGACCTCAGAAACTAGTAGCTCAGCACACTCTTGACATATATTTATGTAATTATTTAATAGATGTGATTTGCTATACCATGCCAGATTTTGAAAGCACACCCTGCTCCTCTTTTTATCCTTTCCATGGTCTCCAATGGATTGAGTCAGTACCCCGCGCCAGTAGGTGGAGCGTCCCTCCTTCTGACATTCAAAGGTCCCAGAAACACCATCCTTATTATTGGCGGTGATGTCCTGGCCGCCTCTAGGGCATTTGCGGCACTCGAGGCAGGTATGCAAGTGATCATACTCGCTAGAGGGTCAGTATGTGACGAGCTGAGATGGAGAGCGGACCAACAGCAAGTAAACCTCACAGACTGGGACATGCTTCCCTCTGTGTCTACTTCCCCACTTCCCTCAGTTCCCGAAGAGTCCTTCTCTGCATTCCTCGCCGAAAACCCATCTATATCTCTTATCTGCATCACCATACACACGGCGGACACACCCGCACTTGCACGTATCTGTCATGCACATAACATCCCCGTGAACGTTACCGACCATCCTGCACTATGCGACTTCTCCTTTGCATCCACGCACCGTTTCGCTGACCCATCTACAGGCGGGCAGAGTGCGCTACAAGTGGGTGTGACAACCAATGGGGAGGGGTGCAGGCTCGCGGGGCGTGTTAGACGAGAGATTGTCAGCATGCTTCCAAAAGACATTGCCGGAGCTGTCAGACAGGTCGGAAAACTTCGACGTTTGGCTAAGAATACAGATGACGAGGTCGGAGAGTGTGAAGAAGGTGAGAACAGTAGTGTCACCACTCCTAACAGGCCCGTACCTGGTTGGAGAAGCAGTGCCACCGAAAGCAAAGACGAGTCCTCCCGCCGCCGCATGAAATGGGTTGCTCAGGTCAGCGAGTATTGGGCTATCACACGGTTGGCATCCATGTCAGAAGACGACATGAAGCTCATATTATCCGGCGACTCTTCCCAAACGACCTCACCATGCTCAGTTCAGGTTCCAAACGAGAATTCACTACATAACTTGACACTTTTACCGCCTCCAAAGAAAGGCCGTATTCTCCTCGTTGGTTCCGGCCCAGGACATCCCTCCCTTCTCACCATTGCAACTCATAATGCGCTTACGAAACACGCAGATCTTGTTCTCTCGGACAAGCTCGTTCCCGCTGCTGTACTGGCTCTCATACCTGAAACTGTCGAGGTGCGCATTGCACGCAAATTCCCTGGCAATGCCGAAGGCGCGCAGTCAGAGATGATGGACGCAGCTGTCGAAGCTGCTCGACGTGGCCTCACTGTCGTCAGAGTATGTCCGATTTTTCGTTTCTTTGACACTGACAATTATCTCGTCACACAGCTGAAACAAGGAGACCCAGTCGTCTACGGCCGTGCAGGGGAGGAAGTACTCTTCTTCCGAGCACACGGGTTCGAACCGCTCGTTGTCCCGGGCGTTTCGTCTGCACTTGCAGCGCCTATTTTCGCTGGAATCCCAGTCACGCAGCGTGGCGTTGCAGAAAGTGTCGTTGTGTGTACCGGAGTCGGGCGACAGGGCAAGGAGGTCAAGCTTCCTGGTTACGAACGCTCGCGGACTGTGCTCATCCTCATGGGCGTCGCCCGCATAGCGCAGGTTGTTGACGCTATGATTCGCAACGACAGCGACAGTGGGGAAGGCCTGCGGAATAGTGAAGGGAGACGAGAGGGGCATCCATACCCTCGGAACACGCCTATTGCCATTATCGAGCGCGGCTCGATGCCTGATCAACGGGTAGTCGCAAGTACCCTTGGAGATATATGTGAAGCGTTGGATGTTGCGGGAGAGCAAAGACCTCCGGGTATGATGGTTGTTGGATGGGCTGTATTGGCACTGCAAGGCGCTGGTGACACAAGTGTGTTGGAAGAGGGGGAGGAACGAGATGAAGAGAGGATAAGAAAGTGGTTAGGGGGATGCAGGTGGGTCATGCGAGAAGGAATCGATCAGGGCTGGGCGGAGGTATAGTTTAAGTTTATGGTTCGTGATTAACATCCATTCTTTGATCTGCAGGAATTTTTGTTAACATACGAGGAGTCGTGTAAGTTGTGTTTACCGGTATCTAAATTAGATGATAGTATCAAACTCCGGAGCTCAGCGCTCAAATATCGACTTGATTGTTGTGAGACGGCCCAGTCCTTCCGTAGAAACTCTTTTCGAAAGCCTGCCCAATAAATGATGCGTTGTATTCAATGCTCGGTGCAAGTGACACTGCTAAGGGATTAGGCTTACTGTACAGAGGAATGACTACTATAGCAGTCTCCGAGGCAGCTACCCGTCAACTAGTACTGGTCGGGTGCACACCTCGAATGCCAGGATAACGAGTTCACAAGATGAACCCAATTATTGTCTCAGACACGTACAGGCAACAAGATCAAGCGACTGAAATACTCGCGCATACCCTTCTTTGTGTCCATGCTTTGTCCGAATCCAAATCATAAGTTGACGTACATACTTCGTGATACAATATTTACAGTACTGGCTGCAGTTATCTACTACATCTTCCCCAAGAGTCCCTCTTCAATATTGTGAGAACGCCCCTTCCAAACTTTCTATAGTACACAGGCAACCATTTCCATGTATTTTCATCAGCTTTCTACACCGTTAGAAAAAGTTCAACATACGAACCATTTGTATAGTAGTAACACAGATGCAATCAATTATTTGTCTGCACTCCCTTGGAGGAGCGGAGGACACGCGAGGACGAGTTGGCTTGAAGACGCTGACGCTTGCGTGGAGGTATGTATTCATCGGCCGACTCATTGCTACTCTCGGAGGAGCTATCCTCCCGATAACTGTCCTCGTCCCCCTCTTTCTCCTGTGATTTGCCAGCATCGGAATACTCGTCCTTCACAGGATCAGTCTGCCGCTTTGGACGCCGAATCCTGATATACAGGCGCGGCTCGTCCGATACAGCCTGATTTTCTTCTGCTAGGCTTGGTGACTCCTCTTTCTCCGCCTTCGGCTCAACTTCCGGCGTGTTACCTTCGTCCTTCACAGGATCAGTCTGCGGCTTTGGACGCCGCATCCTGATATACAGGCGCGGCTCGTCCGATACAGCCTGATTTGCTTCTGCCAGGCTTGGTGACTCCTCTTTCTCCTCCTTCGGCTCGACTTCCGGCGTGTTACCTTCGTCCTTCACAGGATCAATCTGCGGCTTTGGACGCCGAATTCTGATATACAGGCGCGGCTCGTCCGATACAGCCTGATTTTCTTCTGCTAGGCTTGGTGACTCCTCTTTCTCCGCCTTTGGCTCAACTTCCGGCGTGTTACCTTCGTCCTTGACAGGATCAATCTGCGGCTTTGGACGCTGTATTCTGATATACAGACGCGGCCTGTCCGATACAGCCTGATTTTCTTCTGCTAGGTTTGGCGACCCCTCTTCCTCCTCCTTCGGCCCAACCTCCATTCGTGGCTTTTCGACTTGAGAGTGTCCTGGGTGGGAGCTCTCAGAAGAGCTGGAGCGCCGCTTCCTCTTCAAGTTGGCGAGGCGTTGCTGGAGCGAGGGAATGACAATATTGAATGAGGGCTTATGGGTTACGTTGGAGCCGACCTGCACGATGTCGGGCATTGTGATGAGTAGTAGTCTGAGGATAAGGGAGGTGTTTTTTTGTGAAGGAGGGTTCAGAGGAGAGAACTGGGTAGCTACCTTGTAAACATGCACCCTTTTGAGCGATTTAGAGCTGTGAATACACTAAGCGGTCAGTGTCTTGACCGACAGCGTGACTGTGGCGTTGGACTATGGGTAGCATTGATGACCACGTTTGTGAGGGCCCATGGATTGATCATGGTGGTAAGCGCTATCAAAGCGCTCGTGCAAGCAAACAATGACAACAAATTCGAATGTCCACTAGCCGTATGGCCCAACCAGATGGTCCAGAGCACGACCTGGAAGTGCAGCTAACAAATAGCAACTACACGAACAGATTATGAGCACTGTTTTTATGCTTAAAAACAAATATACTTCGTCGGCTGCTAAACGTCCTATAAGGTTGAAGGTCACCCGCACGAATACGATGCTGCATTATTCGACTCGGGGGAGTCAGCCATTTTTTGGGAGAACCTTTCCAATTCTGTTCTGTATGATATTCCGATGCCTCGTCATGATGCGTGTGGGATTTTTTCTGTGGACTTCAGCGTGAAGTCAAAGATAGTACCAGGACTTACATTGTATTATTATCAATAAAACTTCTATTTCGACCTCGAACTGAAAAACTCAAAGTGTTGGCTTCTTGGATGCAAATATAAGTGCTATGATAATCAGCAACGGCGACCCAGAGATGATAGTACACCCCAGCTTGAGAAATGAATGTATTCAATATAGTCGAGGACGGCAAGGGAAAAGGGAATGTAGTGTTGAGTTAGATTTGAACAAAATGTGGTGTCTATGTCTTGAGGAGAAGAGAACGATTAAAGAGAAGACTGCACCTTGGTCCTTGGACAAACTGGAAGCAGGAACGGATAAAATGATTTGATGAACATCATGATTGGCAACAAAACGTGACGATCTCATACAAGGGATGGTCAAACTCAATTCATCTTCAATTGTTCGAATTTTGCCTTGTCTCACTTTACCGAACGACACACCGCGACGACGCTCCCCGAGGCTCTGAGCTTGTATGAGAGATAAGTATTAAGTCGTGAAGAAGGAGGATCCGGAGTCGGGACAGCCCACAGGCTAGTCATGTGATGTGACACACGCGAACAGTCACACAACGCATCACATCACGCATAGAACCTTTCTCCTGGATCAACCAAGATCGTCCTAAGTTTGGGAAATTTCCCAATGATGCCTCCCCGCAGGTCATCTCGCTCTTTACGACCGTCCACTGAGCAAGAGGCATCAAACTCTGCGAAACGCAAACGAACTGACGCAGACGATGTAGAGGAGAAAGAAAATGCGCCCGGAGCACGCAGGA